CAGAATTCTCAGAATGACCAATTGTGGAATCAACCCCACCTTTTGTTTAAACTTGGAAAACAAGTCAGAGGAAAGGAGAATCACTGAGATGGAGGAGGAACTCGGAATAATGGTACCTGATGAGAGGAAGCTTGAGGGGATAATGCAAGGCCCCAGCTTATACACAAGGACTGGTTACTCAGCACTAAACTAAATTACTTGGTCAGCAAGCTTATTGAAAAGAAAAATCTTAGACTTAGAAATTCAAACAAAGACATCAAGAAGACTGTGATCTACACCCAGTGGAGGGTGCTTCATTGACTGGTAAGTATAGTCCCAGTCTTGCTTCATTGAGACAGTTCTGGCAACTTATTTGAATCTTACTCAACTTTACTACAGGATAATGGTGGCTCTGGATAATAATCACATTCAAACCTGCTCCTTACACGGTGGAATGACCAATACTCAGAGAACATTCCAACTCAAAAAATTCAATACAGGACCCAGAAGTTGATGCTTTTGTGGTCTCTATAGAGGCTGGAGGGGTTGGTTTAGATATGACTTGTGCAGACGAGGTCTACATAATGGTATGATATAATCCACAAACCTCGATTTCTCTGATGCATACACTAATTGCCAGTGCCCTTGCTTTAGGATGCCCATTGGAACCCCCAAATAGTACAGCAAGCAGCTGACCAGGTTCAACGAATGGGTCAGACTCATCCAGTCAATGTTTTTCATGTAGTTGTTCAGGATTCTGTTGAACAGCACCTCTTGAATGTGAGTTTCCTCTTCAAGTGTCAAAAAATCATGATGTCTGACAAACCCCATCATACTTCAGGTTCAGAAGAAAAAGGCTTCTTTAGCAAGTAAAGTGATTACTTTATTGGTTCCCAAGGATCAACTAGAACAATTTATCAGGGCTGGTGATACTATGGGTGATGAAGTTGAAGATTTTGATGTCAATATGTGCTATAAGATATAGAAGGTATAGACAGATTTGAATCCATCAAAATGTTGCTCATTGTTGTGATCTTATATCTTTTCCCTCTGTACATGTGAAGGGACACCAAATCGAAGCCCTCTCCTGTCATACAAATATACATGTGTATTGACTTTGGCACAAGTCTTTCAATTTTCTCTTTCCCCACATGTGCATAGATGAAGCCACCTGGATACCATGTGGAACCAATCCTGCAGCCGTAAGTACTTGACAGGAACTGGAGATCACAATATTCCAAGTCACAAGTAACAAAGATCAATACAAGAGTTTTGAAAATGATTTAATGGCAAATGGAACAAAGACTTGTTTGAAATGACAATCATGTTGCAATGCAACAGTTTCAAAAATCCACCATCAAACAAATACCATAGAGTCATCACCTTCAACACGGGCAAAGGGAGTGTTACTCCAAGACAAATCTTTCAATCTTGCTAATACAACATCAAAAGAACCCCAAAAATTTCCAATGTCCAAATCCCCGCTCACAATTCCAACTTCTTCCATGACTTGTTCAACAACCGGGGAAAACCACTCAGGGGTTGTGCTCCACAAGTGTTCTTGCTCCGGGTAATCATCAGCAATGATAGCACCCACTGCTTCACCTGGGACTGGTATGAGGTAATCAATCCCACCAAATTCTTCAACGGGGTTTTTGTAGCAGTAGTCTGCAGAACATCCCGTAGGTAATTTAGACCGCTTGTCGTATTGTCTGCAGAAACCATTGCAAAACTTGACCCATTTGTCCAGAGCTTGTTGAAAGACGGGGATAAATAGGTGGAGAAACAAGGCCCTGAAAAGCAACAATAAAGATTTCAGCATGGAATCACCAAAGAAAAAAAAAGGAGCTTCACCTAGCCATTGGATCATATTGATCATATAAATCTTGATCAATGCGCTCTTGAATTTTAGCTTTGATATTTCCAGTCAGTCCACAAGTCATTTTGTCCCAGAAGCACTCAATCTTTTGGTTACAAGGGGATGGAACATATTGATGATACGCCCAGTTTGGAGCTCTGGAACCGTAAGTTTCTCCAAGATAAAGTTGATGTCCAGCAAGAGGAACAGTCTCAGTTCCTCGATCCGTGGTGAGCTTTTTGGGAATGCCACCTTGTTTTTTTACAAGGCCCAGATACCACAAGTCACAGGGGCAAAAATTGATGCTCACAACTATGTGAGTGTTGAAATGTTCCTGTTTTGTTCCCATTTGTTTCCTATTTGTTTCCAATTTGTTTCCCTTTTCTTTCTGCTTGTCAGCTGATTACGTGATCATCTGGAACTGAGCAGACAAACTAAGCCTTCCTCAGCCTGTATTCCTGAGCAAAGAAGTCTGAGGAAGGGCTGATCTTGAGCGGCATTCCCTGGTTCAATAAGCTCCAAGGAATGCCACTAATGTATAGCTTAGGGGCTGAGCTGAACTGAGTATCACCTTAGCTAAGTTTCTGAAGCATCCCCCAGACGTATCACAGAGCGCCAAGCTTGCCCCAAGCTTCATGGCTCCGGGATGAAGCCTGAGGCCCGTCTGCTTGTTCAACTGAGCTGCTCAGCTATTCCTCAGGGGCATTCCTGAGATCAGAAGGCCCCGGAGGAACTCACTGCTCATTGGCTGAGGGGCTGCTCAGTTCTGCTCAGCTAGTCCTCAGGGGCATTCCTAGCCGGATCAGAAGGATCCAAAGGATGTCACTGAGTATTGGCTGAGGGGCTGCTCAGTTGATCTTGGCCCCTCAGTGTGAAAAACTTTATCCGGGGATATCACTGAGGATTAGCTGAGCAACTGAGATAAACTGAGCAGATGGGATGGCACTTTTATCAGGCTTCATTCCTTAGCAAGGAAGTCTGAGGGAAGTATGGCCCATCGGTAATCCAGTCAGGGGATGCTACTGAGTATTTGCTGAGCAGATCAAATCGGACACCCCTGTGCAGCCTTCTTCACTGAAAAATGAAGCCTCAGGAAGGTATAGTTCATGTGCTCATCTTCATTTTGAACAAATTGCTGAGTATTCAGTGACCCATGAGCTGATCCTGAGTACTCATCGGAAATCAGTTATTGCTCATCCAAGATGGAAATGAGCCTTCTCAACAAATGTTGAGTAAAATATGACCACCACAGGCTGATCACCAGAACACAACCAAGATTTTGAATTGAATCAATCTGAAAGAAAACAAATCTTTTTTGGAGAATTCCAAAAATTCTACAACGCTCACATGTATGTGAGTATCTATTTTGGCCCCTGTGAGTCAACATGGCGGGGGTCGCTGTTGGTGACATGAGCATGAAGTCCCAAAAGCTTTCGAGACCAGCAATCAATGAAACCATATATATCAATTCCAAAGTTCATCAACTTGTTGTGTCCATTGGAAGCCCAAACCTCATTGGGACCACCCGCATAGTATTCCCGTTGCTTGAGTTTATGAGCAGCTCGCATTCTGACAGCATCTGGCACCATTGCCTCCATAATAGCCGCAATAACATCACTATATCAAAGAGGATATCAAATGTAATTAGCATCAGAGCAAAAGGAATCAAGAAGACCCAAAGACTTGCCGGTGGATGTGAAGCTCGTGTTCCTGACCTAGCATCTTCTTGACACTCTTGATTTCAAGTACATTTCCATATTCAATCTGAATTTCTTCAATCTTGTTACATACGGTGGCATAAGTTACTACACCCATGTCAAGATAATCCTTTTGGCGGTGAAGATTGAGTTGCTTCTCAACTCAAGCTAAAGTTGACCGGCTGATGATGATGTTGTGTTTGTTTTTAAGGGCAATGAGATCTCGCTTTTGGTTCAGAGATTGTTTGTAATTGTCTAATACTGCATCCTTTACAACCTCCACATCATAATTTCCTTGTTGTTTCAAGTCCCATTCTTTAATTTGTCTTCTAACAGTTCTTACACAGACTCGGATGTTGGGCCGTTGCCAAACAGTGTTGCATACTGTTTGTGCTGGCCAGTTGTTAGCCACAGCTTTTTCAACGAGGGGTTGCAAGATTTCATCAGATATTTTTGCTGGCATGTTGGTGTGTAGTTGGTGATGGAGACTGAAGGTGATTTGATGAGGATTGCAGAAGATTGAGGACGGGCGAAGAAGCTTCAGGATAATCAAAGAAGATCAAGGACGGTCAAAGAAGATTGAGGATGGTTGACGAAGAAATAAGAAGATTGAGGACGGTTGACAAAGAAATAA